AACATGTTATTTTCACGTGTGAAAATAACACCATTGCGATGGCTATTCAAAAATACACGGAAAGAATTGCCTAAAAAAGCCAAAACATACTTCATTGATAATCATATAATAAACAGAATATTACATGGCCGCTTGGAGATAGGAATTTYATATTCTCGTGTTGAAAATCTCTCACTCGTTCGCTGCGCTYACTCGTGAGAGATCTTTTCATCACTCGAAGATAAAATTCGTATCTCCGCGCGCCCATGTAATATCCTCTATATATTGTTTAAACTCTACTGGTGTCCTCACAAAAGAACTGAAGCGTGATAAATAGTACTTGATTAAAGTGTCCATACAACGTACCTCACGTAAATTATCTGTCATTAAATACAGGAAAAGAACGAGACTTGCAGTGTCCGTAAGCATCTAATTTTACCGTCAGTACGTATTAACTTAATCGTAGTATTCGCTTGTTTTTCTTTTCGAATGTAAACAATACATAAGTGAATATAAAATTTTACGCCCGGGAAACTAAKCGAGTAGAAATTTTAATCTGTCCATGATGCAATCGAGACACCTGCTGTTAGAATAACGAATCACGACAAAAAGTGTTTAGAAAATATTGAGTGATAGTCATGAGAGAATCACAAAAAAACTTATTTCCTGTACAAATTGAGTCCAGCGGATGCCACATGTGAATAGAGTTTGTTTGATGCGTTRTTCTCTATACCGTGCCACTAGCCTACAGAGCAGGCGTTCTTTTGATGGATTTGAGAGGAAGAATCGGGGTTTTGGGGTTCCTGTTTCGACCAAGGGCCCGCGAGAAAAATGGGACCTAGCAAAAAAAGGGAACGTTCTTTGYTGCTCGGTTTCAATTCTCCCTCGTTCCAAAGTTCCCCCAAAACTCCGGTTTTTCCCCAAACCCACAAGAACGCCTGCTTTGCAGGCTACCTTGCCACAAGGTTTTTTCTCCGGTTTCTCCGGTTTTCCTCCCTCCTCAAAAATTAACATGCGAGTTGAGAGTTGTGTGCATAGAATATTAACTAGGTCATCTTGGCGGGAAACGCGCGCAAAGGATTGTCGTTGATTTCAGTTGTTTCTCGGCCAACAAAGAGGTAGCATTTCACGATAATTTCATAAAATAATTG